AAGGACTTAGGACTTCCCCAAGGGAGATAGGTACCAAAACCTGAGCATAGTGCCAGTCTGAGTCTATCCTAAATGTTCACAGAACTCTGGGTTAAAACTTGAGTAGTTCATTAGAGGTTACTTATTTTTTCTACTTCAGAAGTATTTTCAGTGGTCTATTGTTCATGCATGGACACAACATCCCATATGGACTGCAGCATAGCCTGATGTGTTTACACTTTTTATATCAAAATAGTTCAGTTCAAGCTCTTATCCTCAGTAAAAGTTGTCTTCAACTTGCATTTAGATGTTCTGCAATGCCCCTGCAGGTACCCCTGTTGGTGTCCTCACAGACTTTAGGCTATGTTGTTGCTAACTCCTGTAACACTGATAAATGCTAACAGTGGAGCAGAATCATTACTTAGAGGACTTCATTTGTGGCTTGCACTGGACTTCTCTGTTTTGAAGGAAGCATGTATCAACTTTGAGATACTTATGTATTTCCAAATCTGACTTGTTAAACATTGACCATGAGTTTCCTTCTTTGTGGTGAGAGAAACCAGAATTCTCTGTATGTGCATGGGGTCTTACCCTGATGTTCAGACCATCAGCCAAGACAACTGAGGAATCCTTTCACCAGGCTGCCATTTGTGACCCTTCTTGAATTTTGGCTTGACTCCTATTGACTGTTGGTGGTCATGGTGAATACCTGATCATTAATAACCCTTCTCACAAGGGAAGGAGGACATTAAAGTATTCCCAGACTAACACTGATCAATTACAACTGTTCATTATGATTTAATTAAGCATCCTGTGATATAGTGTGTATATATAGTACTGTAGTTGAGATTCACCTGTTGATAGAAAAGGAAGACCTCAGCAGAATGCTACTTCTAGGCTTCTTGAATTCTCCTAATTTGATTTACTAGGTCTCTCACTTTCTTTGCTACTGTGGTACTGCTGGATATTTCTTGGCATGGTTTTATAAAGATTTCTTGTGTGGTATATTCCTTTACTACTTAAACTGCCTTTTAAACTAACTGGACACAGAGCTGAATGCTGAAATAGCTGCTTGGCCTTATTCATAAACTGAGGGCTTTGACTATGTTGCAATTCTGACAAATCAGTATTACTGTGTCCAGGGGAAAAACTGCAAAACTCATGGCAGCGGTCCTCAAAGTTGTTTGTTAGTTAGAAATAGAACTCTTCATCTAGTTGTGTTCACTTTTGGGTGACTGTAGCCTACTTCTCCAGTTTAGGATTATTTGATGTGGAACTGCCAGAGTCGTTTCAAATCAAATTTCGAGCTCTGGCCATCCATTAAGCTGATTAGCCTGTCAGATCTCAACAAGAGAAACGGTTTCATCATTCTTCCAGTTGACCACAGGTTATAAAAGCCTGACATCTCTTCCTCATTAGTGACAGTTCCTGGAGTATGTTAGAACTGTTAGTTTTCTCTGTGAGAGAGGTTAGATTCTTTCCAGCAATAGTGTTCATGCCAAGAAAAGGGTTTAAATGCAAGTAACAGAGCTCTGGCTTGTCAGAGTAGTGTGGCTTCATAGTAGACTAAGAGTAGATCTTACAAGGTAGGGGAACCTGTGCTGTACTTCTGATATTGACAGAGGTAAAACAAACTTCCTTTCCTAGCAGAAAACATAGCTGAGGGGAAATTTTACATGGGCATCTTTACTGTCAGTGAGTAGGTTCCTGTTCATATTAACCACTATTAACTCTTTAGGTATGGGGGGATTTTTCTGGAGGAAGGAACCAGACATGTCCAATACCATGCATATCCAGCAGTCACTTGCACATTTAACATGCTGCTTCTAGCCTCGATTTCCATCTCATAAGCATGAATTAAGACTTCCAATAATGGTAGGAATGTGGGGCATCTCCCACTAACTAAAGGCAAGAATAGCCAGAATGATAAGTCACGCTGCTATGATAAACAAGACACTCTTGTGTATTCCTTGCACTGGGAAATATTGCTGTAGAAATTTTTAAAAATAAACTTCAAGGCAAGGCTGGCACTTCCCGAATCTTATGGTGATAACTTTATCTCTTGTCAAGTAAAGGACAGAAAGCTTCAGATATCAGACCAGGCTCTAACTTTTTTTTTTCCCAAGTAGCTAGATATGCTTTAGGTCTGTTTTGATGTAAACTCAGAAGCAAGAGAAGCTGCCAAGGTCTGATGCAGGTTTAAACTGAACTTCACTCCTGTGATGCTACTGTAGGGAACTGCATTAGATCCCAGTGCAGGACATTATGCAATTATTTCACTTGATGCTCTTGCAATTACTGGAAAATACAGTGACAACATGTGCTGAGTCATTTAGATGTGAAAACTTTGTGGTTAGAGAATGCAGAACTCTGCATTGCACACAGCTACTTCCATATAAATGGAAGTACCCCCAGATAAAACCTCAGATCCCCATGACTGCCCTGCAACTTAACCTGAACCCCTGAAACAGAAAGGATACCTCAGTGCTACCACCAGGTTTACAGCAAAACAACAGACCTATCAGTATGACTTATCCTCTAATGTCTTTTTCCACAGTGCTGTACTAAGCAGTTACATTGCTGTCCTTTTCCTTCTGCAACTCTATGTACTAGAGGCTTTAAGTCTAGTTTCATCTGATCATTTCTAGCCTCTTCCCTTCTGTGGATATAATCTTCTTTCTGTACTGGCAACATTGTTGTCACAGTGTAAGTTTACTATGGCAAAAATCTTGCTGGACTTAGGAAATGAGAAATCCCTGTCTGAACTGAGCATGGCAAAATTTTAGTAAAATCAGTTTTAATACTTACATAGAGAATAATGTTCGGACTCGTAGCATTCTATGGCTTGCTTTTCTGCAAGCAAAAAAGCACTTGTTTTCTGTCAAATTCCTGTTTAGCCTGAGCCTCTTATATTTGAAAGCTTAAGCCTGTGCATTGTCAGTGGTACCAGAATTGTACAGAAAGTCTACCTGGCTTATACTGAACTATTCCTGCCTCATGCCACATACCTGTTAACACAGGAAAAAACAACTTATCTTTTAGGCAGGCCATGCATTTTAGTTTGTCTATGGAATAGGAAGATCCTACTCATCTTTACAGGACTTTCAAACAGGATGAAAGAGCAGTCAGAAGCTAGTATACAGGTCTGTTAATAGCATAGCATATGTGAATTCCAGAGGGGAAGGCAGCTCTGTAGTGAACTGTTCTAGAGTTGAGGCCACTTTAGAAAAGAGCAGCTTTCAGATGGGAGTATTTGATCTAAAAAAGGTATTAATCTGTAATACTACACTGTGTCTTCTTGTCTGCTTTCATGCAACTTAAATTACAGAAGAATATGCAGAGAATGCTTTTTGTTTTGTGAGCCCATCCTGTGGTGCAGAGGAATATGCTTCCTGAACTGAAGACAAGATTTAGCCCTCTAGCATTTAGCACTTCAGCAGGGAAACACGCCTGCATAACAGGAATTGGTGGTGATACCAAATCTACCTTGCTACGCCTTTCCAGGCTTATTCATATGCTTGAAAGGCAACATAAGTTGTGTACAAGTTTCCTAAACAGTGTGTAAGGAATGTGCCTCCTCCAGCGACAGTTTGAGATGCAGGCTTGGTGCATCTTTCCCCTTATACATGCTCCTTGTTCTCACATGGGATACTCTGCTGGTAGTAAGAAACTCATGTGCAACTTGTTCTCTTCAGGATGTCAGCTAGTGATGCTGTTTTATGCAGTATTACACTTTAAAAGTTGAACAGTTGGGAAAAAAACTCCTTTCTACTACTTCTATGGAAGCTACTGCTTGTGGCTACTGCTGGTTTCAGGCATTTCTAGCAAATACTTTGTTCTGAAAATCTCTGTAAAGAATGAACTAATCTGAAGTACTGACACGAAAATGAAGCAATTGAGCTAGAAAAGCATCCTGTTGAGCAGCAGAACTTCACCAGTTCTTTTACTTAGTGATCTCTGGTTCTTTCTGAGAAGATAAAACTGTCCTTGATAATCAAAGGCAGACTTAAATGTTTATAAACAAAGGACAGCGATGTTCCCAATTTAAAATCCTTTTGTTCTAAAACTGCATGTGAACTAAATGCTAACAGCTAAAGTAGTGTTACAGTGTATGAAGTGGTATAGTGCAAGGATTGCTTTCTCCATTGGAGACTTCTCAACAAAGCAGAAAATAAGTTTAGTAGCCCAAACTTCAAGTGACATGCTTGCACTAGATACTGTTTTGCTCACTCAGGTATAAACATAGTGTGACCTTCCAAACAGAAGAAAAGCTGAGCTGTATTCTAATTCTGTATCTCAAGCATACTAACTTAAAGAGCCGTATTTATGAAGAAAAGGGTTTTTAGTACTGGATGTTGGCTTTCATCCAGATTTTTATTATGTTCAATTGTACTTAAACTATTCTGGTCACCTTGCACCAAATTGTTGGACTGCTGTAGGACTCCTATAGTTGGAAATTATTACAGAGAAGGTCTTCAACTTGAAAGGTGAAGTTGAGAGGTTTAGCTTGAACTATTAAACTAGCTCTTTCTAAGCTTGACCCTAAGAAAAAAAATCTAGAATGTAGGTGATTCCTTCATAAGATCCACTGAAGGCTATTAGGTTTCAGAGCTTGTAGAAAGCTGCATCAGTCCCCGTGGTAAAGCCTCTAGGTTTGCTGAAATGTGTAACTGAAGTCACTAGGTTTATATAAATCATGCAGAAATGTCTTTTGTGGAAAGAGTAACTTCTGTGTACTTGTGCTGATAGCGCTGTTTGAGTAGTAATGCCTATAATCACTTTTTAACAAATAAGTTTTAAAAGTTTAAGTGGTAGCTGGAATTGCAGGCTGCTTTTAGCATCTGGCTTGTCATGTATGATGTACATAATGACCCTGTTGTAATCAGCTTACATAGGATGGAGGAGATGAGGTTATTAGAGTGAAATGCTAAACTGATATATACTAACCTGGTACAGAAGTCTACTTATATTTTAGCATGAGCTGTAATGAATATAAATACTGCTACTCCCTTCTTTTTCAGGCCAGGAACGTTTTGGAAATATGACAAGAGTATACTACAAAGAGGCAGTTGGTGCCTTTGTGGTCTTTGATGTCACAAGAGGCTCTACTTTTGAGGCTGTTTCAAAATGGAAGCATGATTTGGACAGTAAAGTATTACTTCCCAATGGCAGCCCCATCCCTGCTGTTCTTCTTGCAAACAAGTGTGACCAGAAGAAAGATGGCAGCCAAAATCCCTCTCAAATGGACCAGTTCTGCAGGGAAGGTGGCTTCGTTGGGTGGTTTGAAACATCTGCCAAGGTAAGCATAAATTAAAGTTTTAACTGTTAAGTATTGGTTATATTCATCTCTTCTAATGCCATGTGGGGAAGAAAAATAAGAGGATGTGACTGTTCCACAAAAATTGGATGTGGTATGCAGGATAGCTTACTGCTACGGAAAGCTTCCAACATACATGAGTTAAATTAGAACTGCACTATAAACTCAGAGCCTTAAAACTAACTGGAAGCCTTAATTAACCAAGTTCAATAAGCTGCTTTCATCTTGTGTGTGTCAGGATCAGTATTGTTCAGTAGATGTTAATTCTCCTGATTGAACTACTGAAAAAGACAAGTTATCTTTAGGTCCTGGCTTTCATATTGCAGCTCTTCTTTGGTGTTGCATGAAGGAAGTGGTAAGACTTCAGAAGTGAACAAGCTATTTGCTCACTTGCTACTACCCACCCAGATAATGTTACTAAACCACTCTTCTATTTTATCAGGCAGTAGCAAGACTGAACTAGGGAGAAGCAAATCACTCAGTGTAGCAACTTAAGCTAAGATAGCTGCTTTATTCAAATAAGTAACTCAAATGAGTAATGTCTTGCATTGTTTTTACTCTGCCAATTTGGTCAATGTACATATAAATTTGCAGCAACTTAGTTGGAAGTGAAATCCAACAGAAACCTGATTGCTTGAAATGGAATCTTTTCTTCTAGATGAAGACAATGTGTCTGGCATACCAAGTTACTGGTCTGGCTGATAACTCTTACATAGTAAGCTAAACCTCAAGGTCCTTCTTTCCTTGTTTTGCCCACTTCCTTTAGCTGCTGCTGACAAACTGGCAGAGTGTTACCTTGTAAGTGATAGACATTTTTGGCATGATGCTCAGATGCTTTTCCTTAAAAGCTCTGTAAGAGCTGATTGCCTTTAAAATAAGGAAAGTACACAGCAACTGAGGTACCAGGCCGGAATACAGCTCTAGGCATCCTGCATACATGACTTCTTTGGAGTGTAGATTATTTTTTCAAAGTGTGCATAAGAAAATGTAGAGTAGCTAGATAAGGCACCCTAATTTAGCTGGGTTTAAGGCTGATTCAAAAGGTCCTTTTTAGATAAGTGATAAAATCCAAACTGCAGCAGAAACAGGAAAAGACCCTAGAAGGTGTCTCACTACTATGAGCATTGTAACCATCTGTCTTTCCTGATGCAAAAATGCAACTCAGCACTTGTGACTTCTCACAATGTAGATGAAGCTTATTCCCAGACTGCACACTAGATTACAGTCCAAGTATTCTGTAATGTAATATGTAATATGGGTGAATAACTTTTGTATCAAACCTTTCTGGCTGACTTTTACAAAAGAACAAGTGTTTGAGCCATAACCTCATGCATCTAAGGTGTTTGCATCATACTGGTGACTGTAGAGAAGTTTGTATTTGGACAGCTTCTAACAGGAATGTATGACCCTTTTTAAAATAAGACTGACTTCTTTGCTTTCAATATTTTTAGGACAACATCAACATAGATGAAGCTGCTCGATTCTTGGTGGAAAACATCCTTGCCAACTATAAAACCTTTCCTAATGAAGAGAATGATGTGGGAAAACCAAAACTGGACCTAGACCCATTGAAAGCAGAGAGTAAATCACAGTGCTGCTAATGCTACCGCTGTTCAGCAAATGTGATGGAATGAGCAGCAAGACTGTTCCTTAAATTCAACTGCTGCTATGGTGCTGCATTGTGACAATTCATATGGGGTGTCTGGTGTTATCTGAACAGGTGATTCACGTGGGCATTTACATACTCTTGTTTAACCTGGAACTTATGAATTGTCACTCCACTTGCTTGAGTGGCTGCATCTAAGTCTGATTAGTTTCTTACCTGAGAACATAAGGTAGTGGTTACACGCCTGAAAAAGGAATAAAGTTACATTCAGTGTCTACTTTCCTTCTAGGACATATGCTACATTCCAAATAGGACTCACTCATGGTTTTAGCTGAACAGACACTTGCACCTTTTCTGAATACTTCTCCTTTGTCACCAGTAGTGTCCGACTTTAGCCTGACTTCTCACCTACACACTTGTCCTTATTTATTATCCCCACCATGAGGGTCTGTCTCATTGCTAGTTCTCCTGGATCAAGACATTCCAGAAGTCTTGAAGTGGACAATGACAGACAGGAGATATCATCCTCAGTGGGCTCACCAGGATTGAGTGGAGTAGACTGCTTTTATCACAGAGTAAGAACAAGCTGGAAAAATGACTGTTTAATGGGAAAGGCATGGTTAAAGATAATAGCAAAAATGCATCTCCAGCTACTTAAAGCAGAAAATTTTCAGCTAATGCTTTACCTGTGAAACACATTAGTGAATACAGTTATACTTCTGACACAACTGTAATCATGGTAGCTTCACCCATATGCACACCTAGAAATAAACATTCAGAAACCCTTTCATGCACTAACACTGAAAACTTTAGCAAGAGCTCATAAAGTAAATATCTTACTGTCCTGTGATAATCAACTTGCTTCTTTTTTATTCTGCCTGGAGATAGTTCTGAATACTGAGAGGAGAAGGGGAGATGTCATGAAAGAAATGGTTAAACTGATTCTTTGTAGTCTATCAAACACAAAGCTCTACCTTTTTTTCAATTTTAGAACAGTGCTGCACTCTTCTGACTACTCAGGGCTGGTGAACTGGCTTACCAGTTTGTAGCTCTCTGTGCTCAAGCTTCCTTAGAACTCATGCATTTCTGGCAGCAAATGAAAATCAAAAGGAGTAGAGAGACGACACAGTTCTTGAATATATTCTGGAACTCTGGCTCTGCCTGGCTGAAAGGCTTTGAAGCTCCTTTTAAATTTTAAAGGTTTCTTCTGTCCTGGTATCTTATTGCTACTGGCTTCAGAAGTCTTGTCTTGTTTGGTCTGATGGTACTGATGTTTAAACATTCACATGAAGTATGTGCCAGACTGGATGTACTCTAATCTGCATTATAACTTTCTAAGCTGTCTTTTTTTCTAAAGAGTAACATACTTTTTAAGAGACCAATAAATATATTTGGGCATCTTATGTTGTTGGCGTATGCTTTTGAGAATGAATCTTCATTTCCTGTGTGCTATCCTGTATAAACTTGTTTTCAAATGTCAGTGAAAATGTTTGTGTATTCTAGTAGTCACTGTGTTAAAGGCTTGTTTTAATTTATCATAGTAAGGTTTGGCATAAATTAAAACAGGGTTTAACTAGTTTCTGATTATAAAGTAATTCAGATGAAAGGGTTCCTAGGTTGTGAAAGGGTTCTTGGGTTGTCAAGCTTAATATCCTTCTCCAAGCAAGGTCATACACAGTAGCTCAGGCCTTCATGTGGCCTTCTGCTCTTAAACCTTCAGCAACAGACTGACCTCAGGGAAAGTTGTTTCAAAGCATAACCATCCTCATGAGCATTTGTCTAGTCTGAACCTCTAACTTTGATTTATTTTTATGTCCATGGTCTGTCATCCTTCCACTGGAGCACTAGGAGGGATGCATCTATTAGACATGCAGACTTACTTGATGCTTAAAACTGGACACTTAAACCTTGGTTGCTTCCTACAACTTCTCTGAAAGCCTTTAGCACATCAGAAAGGAAGCTGCATCCCAACCATGTTTCTTGCCTCTTGGTTTGTATGGGTTGTTAGCCTTTCAAGCTAACCTGGAATTACCATAATCTCCCTGTTCAGCCACTTCTACAAGTCCACTCGGACTGTAAACTTGCTTGTTAAAGCTATTTAATCTCCTAAACTACTTAAAGCACATCTGTACAGATGTGGTAACTAGCCAGTGGAGCATTTGCGAAGTCTGGTTTTTTATACTTCTTGAATAGATAAAGATACATGACAAAAATTCTTGAGTAAACATGAAATTTCTGTTTATTTGGTTTCAAATGAGTAAGCTTACTGGACCAATGCATTAACATAAACACTGACTAATGGTATAAGGCCAATTTTTGAATTCTAGAATTATGTCATTAAAAGTTTGTGTAGTAAGTTCATGGTCCAGTTCCTTAATTTCTTTTTTTTTTTATTGGAGAAATTGCCAGTAAAGTGTTTTTTTTTTTTTTTTTCTGAGCAGCTATGGTGCTTGCTCTTTTCTGTTCTTAGTTCTCAAATTCAGCAACAGAATGAAAACCAGACTGAAGCTCTGGGACTCTGGTAGAGTGTGAATCTTCACTGTGTCTTGGCAATGTAATCCTGTACAGATCAATTTTCAAATGTCTAAATTGCTGATTGAAGAGCTGTTGCTGTTCTGTTTAAGCACTTTCCTTATCTTCGTGGCTTGCTCTCTTCTGAGATTCCATATGAATATAGAGTGGCCATGACTGTCAAACTGTGGAGTACAGTAATTTTGATTTATTATGTCACTGGCTGGAGAAGTTGAGCCTGAGTGATGTTCAGGAAATACAATCTACAAAGATCAATTAGACTAGGCACAAAAACCTGTTGTAATTTGCCTAAGATCTTTGTTTTGGAAAGATATCTGAAATTTAGACAGACCTGATTTAACTTCAGACTGGCAAGTAGGAAGTATCAAACACTTGTTTTATGTCTACAGGATATATCATATAGTGATTCATCTCAATCTAATCAGATGAGCAGAGGCCCTGTGTAGTTGTATTTCATTACCTCTTGCAATTTGAAATATGTCAATCTTAAATGAGCAAGTACCTGGTGTGTAGTCCCTGTATTTAAGGGATCATTTTGAGATAAAGAACTTGAGTAAAAATCTAAGCCAGTGCTTCAAGTAAATATCTTACTTGGCATATTTCCATTATCTTATTTCATATAGGCTAGAAATGGCAAATAGTCATTCTGTATTGTAGTTGTGCAGTCTGTCTGTGCAGCTAATTTGTTTAAGAAGTTTAATGAGACTTCATAACTTCTGAAAAAAACTATAAAGGACTTGGAGCAATTAGTTACATCTAGAAAATTTACATAGAGAAGGATCACTTAGTTGCAGTAGTAGAAAAGTATGAGCTAATTTATGATCTAGGTTTTGGAATTTTGTTTAAAATGTTAGACTGAGTCTTAATAGCATCCAGTCTCCTCAAAGTGTGCAAATCCTTGTTTATTTTTAGTGATTAATTGCTGGGGAATACTTTGAGCAATTCTTACAGACTTAGTGCCTGAGTCACTGTTTGATAGGTGGTGATAAGAATAAATAGTTATAAAATGAATTTTTGTAGTAAAATTGTGGTGTTGAATGGTGAAATACTTTTCTTTTAAATGGAGTTCCTTTATCTTCTGGCTTTTAGTATCTAAATGATCTTTATTCTAAAATGGAGAACTGGCTGCTTGTTTCCTCCTTTATAGAACGCTTTACTTGCTATGGAAATGGTTCTCTAAATGTGCATACGCATTCATCCTTTGTATAATGAATTACTGAAAAATGTAAGAAAATGAGGTGGCACTGGACAGGAATAAAAAAGTGCATTAGGAAAATGCCAGTGATGTAAGTAATGATTCTGAATTGGAATACTCACTTGGCAGTATGTGAAAGGTCACTTCAGACAGAACTCTTTGTTCTGCAGCAGCCCACTAGTGAAAATAAGGAACGTGCTAGATTCAGATTTATCTAATGAAGATTATTTTAAAGAAACTGTCTGTATCATATGTGACTGTTATAAAGCTCTGTAAGCTCGCTATGTCTCTGTTTTTGTCTAAACAAGCATCTCTGGGAAGAAAAAGGTACTTGGTGTGGTTTTTAAACACAATCACGGTTTCTTTTATCACTACCTAACATGTTCACTCAGTGAAAAATTACTAGCTTAGACATCCTATGTTGCTTATGTAGACTCACAAATAAATTTTACTAGATGAATTTTATCATTTATCACTTTACTAGTTATTTTACCATTGTAGTCTATTCATGCAGACCCATTCATTAAGTACCTTAAGAAAATTTTTATCGGTAAGTATGGTGTTTGGATAGTCTTGGTTTGGGAGATGAAAAAGTAGAGGGTCAACATATCAGTATTGTTTTTTTCCTAGGTTCTAGGAAATGAAACAAAGTGTTCAGTCTTCTGATAAAACAGACTTATTCAAACTTTTTTCCTTTTTTTTTTTAACTTACAAACTTTTAAGCTGTTCATTATGATGACTCTTCTGAAAGCTTAAGTTATGGTAATTATTTGTCTTGTTGAAAGCTTATAGCTCCTTACAGAGCATATGGCTTATTTTGTTTCTAGACTATCCTTTACTTATATCAATCCAGAAGAAAGGACTTTCAACCCCTCACATTCAGATCCGTTTGATTTTTTTAACTTGCTTTTCAAGAGTGTTCTGTAAACTGCAGTATTGAAAGCTACTATGTAGTATAGTACTTGAGTCACATTATCAATTTCCATCATTCATATTACGTCCAAGCAATTTTGATTACAAGGAGTGAATTTGATTTTTTTGACAATGCTCTATCGGTCTTGATGTAACAAAATGTCTGCCCCTCCAAGATGCATTCCGTATTCGATTACTGTGCCACAAAAATGGTTTTACACTCAGTGTTTTAGTCCAATAAAACAATGGAATTGTTGTATTGTGCACAAAGATTACTTCAAATCTGTTTGCTTTCTATAGCATCTGCCTAGTTTAAGTGCTAATGCTTCTATATAGATATTTCTACAGGCAAACTACTTTCTTCTGAACTTGAATTGCTTTTTTTTTTCCAACTATGCTTTGCCTCAAGGTCACAAAAATCACTACCTTCTACTATTTAGTAGTTTAAGAAAGAAAGGCTTTCAGTTAGATTGTCCATCAGAGTGGCAGTTATTTTCCTCGGATTATTGTTTTTAAGTACAGTTACATGAGATTACTTTAGTTCAAATAGCTGTGAGAGCACTTTTCATATGTATAAGAACACAAGTGTCATAATGACTTGTCATTTTTAGGTTTCAGAAGTCAGAAAATGTAAACCTGTAGTGTCGTTTCTTAAAGACTGTATTTTTACTTGGATGGGAAACAAGTATGAAGACACTTTATAGCTTTATCTATGGTTGTCTTCCTCATTTTTCTTTAAGAATATTAATCACATGATTCAAAATTTGTCTAGCAATCTTATGTTCTGCATTTTTAAGAGTATATTTTTTGGTTTTAGCCTCTATGCAGAACTGCAACCATACAAAAACATTTGTTTAAAACTGCACTGAAGTTAATCGCTATTAAAAAGGATTTGCTGTGATTTGCAGCTTGCCTTGAATTAGAACAAACAAGACTTAACTTCTTTAATCTTCTGCAAAAAAAGTTACATCCTTAAAAGTGAACAGCAAAATACTACAGTAAAATGGTGTACTGAGAGATTTAGTAGTCTCTACAGCTCAGCAGTTAACACTGCATTAAGATTGTGCAGTGGTTCTTGTTTTAAAACTAGAGTTATCCTTTGATCCCTCAGGGTGTGATCATAATTCATAATATTTCTGGGCAAAGATTTAGACATTATTTTTAAGAGGTAGTGCTACTTTCTCTGAGTATCCCCCTTTCTTAACAACTGCAGTAGCTAGAGTACTGTAGTTGCCCTCAACTTCAAAGTTCAGATAAGGATTTTCACACTGTATCAAAGCCAGGAAGTTTTTCACTTTGACGTAGATATTCTTTTTATGAATCATCAAGCATAAACTTACAAAAGAAAGGTGTGGCAGTGCCTGATTGTTTGAGCTTAGTTTTTCTTTGCTGGCTGCTTGCACTGTTACCCAAATACTGGAGGGAGAGAGAGGGGGGGAGGGAAGGAGGGTGAGGATCAAAGCTTAAAAAAAAAAAAGCTTAAATCTAAACGTATGCTCTGACTCTTTCCATGGAATTCAATGGTAATGGTATATTTAAACCAAGCTTGGACAACTGTAGAATATATTACACAATGTTTTGGGACCGTCTTCTCCAAAATAAGTTCTGGGGTAAAAAATGAGACTGTATCATGACAATGCAACCAATCAGTGCTGTAGCAAAGAACTCAAAGATGAGTGAAAATTGTAACACAGCTGAGGTTCATCAAAATTTGGTGAGTGTCTATTTTACTAGAAAAGGTAAGACGTGTCCCTAGCAAAATCAAATGAGAAACGGTATCATTAGATATCTTTGAAATGGCCATGGGCAGATGGCTGTGGACTTAGAAGACTGTTCTCTGCTATTCAGCTTGTTCCTGTACTGTGTCTTACTACATCAGTTTACCCACAACATTTGTATAATCCATTTTCTCCACTCTGCTTTCTATGTCACGCTGACTCATGTTAATAAACCATCACTGCTTGTGAAAAGTTTCAGTCTGAAGATGGTTTTGCTCAAATTCAATTCACTGTCCTGTAAGTTACCTCAGGAGCCAACATCCCAAACAAAAGCAAGTCAGCATTATTCTGCCACCCTTTCATCTCTTACCTACGTAGCAACTTCATACTTAAAGATGCTGCATCTTTTCTTACAACCACTTCCGTCTAAGGTTTTAACCTCTTCTTTGTGGAAAACTTCCTAAAATTGTGGAGTGACTGAGGTCAGAAGGGGCATCAGGAGCTTGTCTAGTCCAATATCCCTGCTCAGAAGAACAAGAGCTACAGCAAGGTTGCTTATGGCCATGTCCAATGTGGAGACTCTGAAGTCATATCAGAAGACTACTGCTAGTGTTTGACTAGCCTCGTATAAAGCAATGCACACGCTTATTTCGGAGTGGAATTTTCTGTTTTGATTTGTGTTTTCTCATCTTGTCACTGCTCACTCCTGGGAAGAATCTGACCATCTTTAGTCGCCTTGTCAGGTATTTCTACACACTGGTAAGGTTTGCCCGCTACTCCCAGGGTTTCACTTAAGACTAAGCTTTCTCCTCACTTGTTCTGGAATACCTTGTGTAAATCTGAGGAGAGTTAAGTCTGAGCCATTTAAGTTAGAGCTGTCTGAGCTCCAAGACTCCTGAGAGGAGCTTTGACAGTATTCCTGTTAACAGTTACTGTTTTCCCCTTCTCTCCAACTACTATTTGCAGCTATAATAAGTGCAAAGTATTTAGGGCTAAAAAGCTGTTTTTTCTCCAAGTGACAACAGCAGTTACCTGTGTAATGGCTTAAGGAACAAAACACACTACCAAGTAACAGTGTTTAAAATTGTTTCTTATAAGAGTGGTGACCAGAATGCCATCCATCCATTGCTAATTGGTATGTGTTATCTTAGGATCTATTCAATCCCAATGGATTCCTGACATACAACAGCACCGTACTTCTCCTTCTATTGTCTTGTATTTTTATTTCATACTTTGTCTATAAGGCTGCCTCTACCCTAACATCTTTTCCCTTTGGGGAGTGTCTGTCAGATACACTTCATGGCCTGAGACATTAGGCCAATGAAACAGCTGATTTGACCTTACAGATTCTTTGCCAGCTGGGAAACAAGGTTTTTTTAAAATTCAGATTAACTTGTCTTTCCAGACTACCCTACTTGTCATTGCTGTTGGGGTATGGAATTCTAAATTAAGTTACCAGATACATGTTTTTAATGTCCTTTTTTTTAAGCACATAGAATTTCATGATAAAAGGTGCATTTTGAATTTCATGGGTAGCAAGTATGATTTAACACAGCAAAGAATGAAGAGTTCTGGAGCTTACACACATTCTCTTCTGATTTCTGTCCTTCTTCCTTCTTCACCCCAAAATGTGTACATGCAGTGGGTTTACGTGGCAAGGTTTTGGTAGCGGGGGGCCATAGGGGTGGTTTCTGTGAGAAGGCATGGACTCAAATTTCATTTTATTTATTTTTTTTCCCCGATGTCTTTCACAGAATTGTATTACAAGAATTCATATTTGCTGGGATGCTGCAAACCTCACTGGTCACCTGCAGTGGGATCAGGAATTAAATTTTCCTACTAAGAGGGAATGCCTCTTAGCTTCTCTGCCCAGTGAGTATGGGGAAGGGAAGACTGAAGCCACAGAGATGCTGAGGGGTTTTACCTGTGCTCTTGGTCAGACTCTGTCCTGTGATTTCCAGCCTCAATCTGCAAGCATGAAGGAGAACTCTTTGAGGTGTGGAGCCCTGCACTGGTAGTGAAGCTGTACCCAGCTGTCCAAACTCACCTCTGTGTCTGCCATCATTCACCTGCATGTCCTGATCAATATTTGATGGAATAATTGTCTGGAGGCCAGCAGCTTGGTCTGAAAATAAACAAACAGGAAATGTTTGTTTGGTTCTCAAGTGAGAAGTGTCCCGTGGTACCTTATTTAAAATGGATGCTGCTGGACATAACGCTGAAGGAAATGCAAAGATGCTGGAGCGCTTTTCACTTTGAAACATAAAAGTATATATTTGACCTTCTGTCATCTTGATATAAATCAAGACCTGATACTTGTCTAAAGTAAGCCTCTAGATGTAGCAACATCTGCATACTTTTCCATATATCTTTTGACCTACTCCTGTCCTCTGTGACTCGACAAATACATTTTCATTGATTTTTCATATTTTAGAAACACTGAGTAAGGCTGAGTGAGCACATATGATCTGTTCTATCACAGTTTTTTTGTCATGCACTACAGATTGAGAAATAGCAAAAAAGTGGAATTATTTAGAAGATAGGAGTTGATAGGAGTTGTTAGGGATAGTGTAACATCTGGACTGTGTCTGAAAAAGTCCTCCTAGGTTAGTTGAAGTCAACTATTTGCTGAATCCAAAAGCAGCTGATAAGGGTTAGGTTTACGTGGCCTTGGTGAAACTCTGTTCACTCCAGTAATTGTAGGCATCATATAAGGCACTAATTAGTTCAGTTGTTTTGATATGAAAAAGATAAATGCTTGTCTACTTCAAATCTAAATGCTCTTCGAGCTCTGGGGCTGGTTTCAGCTCTGGGACTGGTTTCCTTTCCCATTCCCTTTCCATTTTCTTTTTTTTTCCTTTTCTCTTTCCTTTCTTCCTTCCCTTTCCTTTTCCTTTTCCATTTCCTACCAAATGGGTACTTTTTCCTCTCACTCTTTCTCTATAGGCTTATTTGTGTGATTAGAACATTTATAACAAAATACACTTTGTTTCCATTTAATTTAATTTTATTTTTTAAATTTTATTTTTTAATTTAATTTAATTTTTATTATTTTTTTTTAATTTTATTTTATTTTTTATTTATTTTTTTTTTCCAAATTGTCTTCTGAAAGACCCTCGAAGCTGCCGCTTAGCTTCAGAACAGACCCCTCTGCCTCCGCCAAAGTTCAGCCTTTTCCTTTTTGCCACCTTTTGGGTCGCCACGCAGCCGCTATTCCCAGCGGCATTCCTCTGCTTGCGCTCCCCCCCCGCCCCCCCCTCCGCCTCGTGCCCTTCCCTCGTGTCCCCCCCGTTTCTCCGCCGCGCGCCCCGCCGCTGGCAGCCGCCGCCTGGTGCGGCCACCGGGACTCCGCCGGTGTCGTCGCCGAGGGGTCGCGATGCCGGGTGTAGGCTGGCCGCAGGGGCCCTGGGCCGTGGGGCGGCGCTGGACCCGCTACCTCCGCGGGTCCAGGTCGCCCGGCAACGCGGTGGACGCGGCGGCAGCCGCCGCGATGGGCTCCAAGGGCGGCAAGAAGAAGGAGATCGGGAGCCGCAGCAGCTCTGGGCTCCTGGGCCCCAAAGAGTAAGGGTGGGGGGAGCCGGGGGGCTGGACAGGGAGCGGGGACCCCGCCGGCGGTAACGGGCCGGGGGCGTTCTGCCCCGCGGGGACGGGAGGGGGCGCGCCCCGAGCCGCCCCGTGCGGCCCCATGCGCACCCCGAGGGACCCCATGCGCGTCCCGGGCCGCCCCCGCTGCTCGGAGGGGACGGGACCGTGCCATGGAGGGGGCGTGCAAACCGGCAGGGCGATGGAAGTTTGCTTGCTCAAGGGGATGCTTGGTTGAAAGTAGGGGAAACGCGAAAGGTGGTGGTGGGGGGGTGGGTTGTTTGCTGTTGGTTTGGTTTGTTTTCATTCTTGAAACTGGAGGTTCAGCTTTGTCAGTGAATTGCGGAACTGCAGAGTGGCTGAGATTGGCAGGGACCTCTGGAGGTCACCTGCTCCGAACCCTTGTGCAAGCAGGGACACCCAGAGCAGGCTGCCCAGCACCATGTCCAGGCAGCTTCTGGAGACCCCACAGGCTCTCAGGGCAGCCTATGCCAGTGCTCGGTCACCCACAGAGCACAGAAATGCTTCCTCATGTTCAGAGGAAGCCTGTGTCCCTGCTTGTGCCCATTGCCTCATTATGTGGAAGCATTGCTTTCTTTCTCCTATGGTACTTGTTATGGCCCTGTCAGGTAGTGATATCCTGCCAAAAAAGATTTTGTTGTCAGAATGTGTGTCTTGAGCCTTAAAGAGAGTAGCAGAAATGAGATCATACATGCACATGATAGGTCATGTTGTGATATGGCTATGTTTCTACACGTGAGGGACACTGTGTTGGCCACAGCTCAGAGTATGAATCAGAACCACAGGATGGTTCAGGCTGGAAGGGACCCTGAAGATCATCTTGTTCCAGATGCATTAGACTTATGGTTACAAAGCATTAGATTTATGGTAAGAAGCAGACAGCATTGAGTTTTCACTGAAAAGTTTTTTGGGGCTTAAAAAACCTCAGGGCTTTTAACTGGGAGGATAGTTTGGGGATCACATGCTGCCATCCATTTTCATCAGCTGGAGGAACTAAGCTAGCTGAAATTTTCAGGGCTAAATGGCTAATGACCCTTACAACACATCAATTTCATTTACAGGAAGAGAACATATTTCCCAATCCCTTGAATGTTTGTTTTATGTTATAATGAATCTCAGGAAATTAGGTGGATATATATATATATATATTCATTTCTTAAATATTTCTGTGTAAGTAGCATCTCTTGAAATATTTTAAAACTATTCCCTGTTTGTTTGTTTGGTATTCAATGCAAATTTTTCCTCTGTGAAAATGTGTATTTCTCCCTGCAAAGACAAATAACGAACAGAAAACATTGAATTTCTTTCACTATTACTCTTTTGATCTATGAATTCTATATTTCTATCTTTTGAGCAACTTTCTCAACCTAAACTATGTAAATGTGCACACATGATGCTGTCTGGATTCAGACAAAAACACAAACAAACATTAGTGACACAAAGTATGTGCTCATGCCCTTTTCTTCATTTTCCTGCCATAAATAAAGGTGTTGGTCCTATCACTTACTCCTCTCTTGAAATCAATCTTAAAATGCTCCTTTCTTCTTAATTTATATCCAGTTACCCAGCCTTTGCAACAAAATATTTTGTTTCATATTTTCATACTTCTGTTTCACATTTTACATTTTGATTCACATTTTGATATCTTTGCTGTTGCTGTGGTCAGCCAGCATCTCTAGTTCCTCTCTTTTCCTCTCTGTATCCCTTTGCTCAGTAACTTATTTTTTTCTTGTTTTAGCCACAGCCATGCTGCCCCTCACATTTACTTCAAACAGTATATCAATTTTTTTCTGACAATATCTAAGCTGTCAGGGACAGCTGAATTTTCTAGCACAGGTAAAATACTATTTTCCTACTTCGCACTGTATGTAAAATTGATTGGGCTGTCATCCAAAAGATTTTTTTCCCATAATAAGCATTTTTACAGTGTAAGATTTTTTTTGAGATGATAAAAATATGTACTTTTATATAGTAAAACCATTCATTCTCTCCCATATCATAGAAAAATTCTAAGAGAATCATTCATATAAAATGAGTTATTTTGTATCAGAATATCTAGAACAGAATCTTTTTCTTTAGCACGCTGTTGCTTTAAGCTTTATTAAATGAGACCACGATGGATAAATAAGATTAGAAAATCATTTTCCCTGTGTCAAGTTGAGACTGGAGAATATCTAATTACAACTGTTTTGAATGATATTAAGTTTTACTGGAACGCCTCTGGAGTGTGAATAGGAGATATGCTTGTAATATATTTGAAATTTCTTGATGGACCTAAAAGGCAAGAGACATGATGTATCTCTCACTCTGCAATTATCATCTAATTGTAAGGGAACAAATGTCTAGTATATGCCAGTGTTAATTCAGTGTTAGCATAGGAATATTTACTCATTTCACTAGGGTTGTTTTACATAAGCAGTAGTAGCTTGAAGATGTCCTAATGGTGGTTTAGTGACAGGTTAGTAGCCTACAGAAGACTGTTACAATCACTTGATTGTAATGCAGAACCTTTGTAACCCAGATTATTTTTTTTCATCAAACTAATAACTTCTATTTAAACCATAACATCTCTTTTGTGTTTAGTTGCTCTCCTTTGTGCTCTTTCCAGCTAGAGTAAGACTCACCAGTAAAATGCTAGATGTTATAGCAGTTCTGATCCTGGTTTTCTAACTAACCTGTCCGTGGTCATTGTTATTTATTTTTTGTCATCCTGAAATATCACTAAGGCCTTTTGGATGGATGGGTGGATGGGCGGATAGATGGGTGAATGGATTGAAGGAAGGAAGAAAAAGTGGTTGGTTTAGGACAATGCATGTCATGCCAAGTTCAGCAAACTACCTGATAAATCCTGCTGTTCAGGCTGTTGGGAAAAAATAATTTCACTGTCTGTTGAATTGTAGATAATGAGTTACATCAAGAAAAGCTAGTGACAGGTTATTTTAAACTTTGGCCTAGCCTTTTTCTCTTAAACATTTTATAAGAAAGGTAGCCCACAATTTTCACATGAAACTGTAGAGCACAGCGCTGTAAAGCATTGGAAAATCAAGTCTGAATTCAGCACTTGCTATCTTTTCAATCGTATTGTTTTGCGTGCTCTGTAAATTGTAGGTGCATTTTGGGTTGCTTACAGGCTGTATTCTGTAACAGTGTTTATTTTCAGTACGATAATCATTCTGGGGAAAACATCTTAGTACTCTGTTCAGAGCTCTGGGTGGAAGTCTGCTTTTGCTGAAATCAGTGAAAGCTGTTGACGGTTGGGAGCTGAACATACTGGGGTTAAGAGCTTGCCCTTGAGAACATTTTGACAACTTAAATAGCCTTTCTTCTTGCTTTTAGCATGAAATAAAGACCCTTATTTCCCAGATTGTTGGGAATTTGTACCCCAAACCCAACATCAAAAATATTTTGGCATTCCTAGTCTCTGTGAAAGGTTAAACACTGAAATGTATTTATTTTCTTTAGTTGTGCTGTAAGCCAGTGGTCTACAACCTTTCTTGATTGTACACTACTATCAATAAAAATTGTGAGCACACTCCCTCAATATACTTATATTAATTTATCTGTAAATCATATGCATGCAATACTGAAGCTCTCTTTTCTTCCTTTTTCTTCCACACCCTACTTTGGAAAGCACTGCTTTACACCACAAAGTTTATATGGAGAGAGTGAGCGACTAGGCAGATTCAAATGCTGAACTACAGTCTGTTAAAGTCTACAGGGAGCTTTTTATTTCGATCAGGCTTATGGTTGAAACTTAGAGCTGTAGTCTGTGATTTATGCAAAATGGAAGCAATGTTTCCTTCTTCAGTATTCAGCATTGCTTCTGGAGTGCTTTCCCCTTTGTCATAGGATTTGTGATGTGCATACCAGCATAATAGGAACGCAGACAGATTGACAGATCCATGCTATTTCTTTATTTGGAAATAGATTCTGTATAGTAAGGAATATCTGCATCATAGTAAATCTATTCTGTAGATCTGTATCACTGTTGTCAAGAAAAATCATCAGAGTACTGAGTTGATTCTGCAGGAGTCTACCCTGGAACAAAATATTAATACTGCTGCTCCTATTATTTATATTTTTAATTAAAATTGCTGAACACAGTGATAGGACAAATTTGCTGTGTAACCCTAAGACTTAGTCTTCACTTTGATTGCCAGTTCTGTGTTGGAGGGATTAATCTGTGTTTCCTCATTTAATGATTTTCTGCTAATAGTAAACTAATGATAATAGTGATTGTGAATATTTTATTAAAGACAGTTAACCAAGTCTTTTTAGTGGGTTGTGGAGGTTAGAAGTAAATATTCTTATGTGCATGCTATTAGATTGAAGCTGTGTTCTTTGTATGTATGACAATTACTTAAATAGATGACAAGGAAATAGCTATTATGTTCATCCTGTTACTAAGCTTGTTCAGTAAATTTGTGTACACATTCTAGTGTCCAAATTTTGCATAAGTCTGTGCATGAGAACTTCAGTAATGTTGCTGTTCATGTAGCAGAAAAAAAGAAATGGAAGTTTGCAAGCTTCCTGAGAAAATATTGTCCCATTAGTTTAGCGTTCTTTGCAATTGCAAAGTAGGTTTTCTCTCTCTCTCTCTCATTTCTCTCTTTTTTTTCTTTTTTTTTTTTTTTTCTGAACAGAGTTTGCAGCTGCAGGGACAAAATACATTTTGTCTTTTTTGTAATACTGTCTTCTTACTAGTAAATGGTATTTGTTTTCATGTGTCTCCAGTGGTTGAAATACTGAATAGAACTATCAGCAGTATAAGAAAAGAAAAAAGGTTAATAGTTTTTAAATATAATTTTAAAACAAATCATCAGAACAGTCAAGGCTTACCATAAAGAATTACAGTCCCATCATTTTAACAACTATAGGTAAAACTAATGTAGAAGTCCTCTGAGAGTAATGTGTACAAATATCTGGACAATATATTTTGATCACCTTAAAATTATTTT